AGAAGCCAAGCGAGGAGAAGACGGTAGCTGAGGGGCTCAGCAGCCTAGCAGCCATCGCTACAGAAGCCCCTCCTCCCTGGAACTCGGGGAGGGGGGTGGTACTTTAGTGAACTGCTCGTCCTTAAAGACATGAGATTTATTTCTTAAGCACCTGGGTCTGCATAAATCCAAATACCCCATTCTGGGTACAATGAGCAACACGGAAGGAAAGACTCTCATTAAGTCTGAAGTCATTCATGGGACAGTTAGAAGGGTCCTTCATCAGCACTAACATTTACTGAAAACCCACCCCGGTCCAGGGGCTGTGCTCAGCGCTTGACCTGCATCAACTCAGGGAATCCTCTTGGCAGCCCCATTAGGTAAGGACCATTATTATCCCCATTCTACAGATGGGGAAACTGAGGCCCAGGGAAGGGAAGGGACCTCCCAAAGTCATGCAATGGAGACTACATCCCAGGCCCCTTTCCACATTAAGGGCTCTGGCTGGGTGCTCCAATTATGAGATCATTCTGTGCCCTGGGGAAGCCTCTTTTCCCTGAACATAGCTTGGTAAGCGATGAGATTCCAATCTAGATGCCTGCCGTTCCAGCTGCCTTCCCGGTCTGTTCAGCGCCCGCCCTCACCTTCTGCTGCAGCTCCTCAATGGTCCTGAAATACGACTGGTAGTCAGGACACATGGTGGGCACTGGAGACTGGCAGGCCTCTTGGATCTTGCTCTCCAGGCTGGCGTTCTCCTGCTCCAGCTGCCGCACCTTCTCCAGGTAGTTGGCCAGCCGGTCATTTAGGAACTGCATGGTCTCCTTCTCGCTGCCATTGAAGGTCCCTTCACAGAGCCAGCTGCAGGTCCCCATGGTGCTGGAGATGCCAGCGGCGGGCCGGCAGCCGCTGGGTCGGCAGGAGCTGGAGAGGTAGGTCTTGGAGAGGCAGCCGGCCGGCCGGTAGGTGGTGGGCATGCAGACGGAAGGCACGCAAGGCATGGGCTGGCAGATGTAGCCCAGGCACAGCTCGGGCCGGCAGTTCATGCCGCTGGAGCAGACAGAGGAGGCCCGGGGGCAGCTCTTGTTGGAGGCGGGTGGGCAGTTGGATGCCATGTAGGGGAGGCCCCTTCTCTGAGCTGCAGCTACCTGGATCGCCAACACCTACAGACCCCATCCCTCTGGGGCCTTTTATCCCCTTGGAGTGAGGGGGCTCGCCCTAGAAAGCGGTGTTGATGTGTACACTCGGCCTCAGAGGAAGCTGCTAATTAATTTGTAATTTGGTTTCCAATAAGCAGTTCCTTTCCTCATAAAAGAGACCAAGCTTGTCATTTGGCTAAAGCCGGCCTCCTGTCATTGATCACCAGGGGAGAGTTTCCGGACACATCTTCAAAGGATCGGCTCCACGCTGGGCCCTCATTACCAGGGCGGGGTTGCCAGGAGACCACGGTGGCCTGGCCCTGTGTCCCCCGGGGCTTGGCTCACCGCGCCCCCGCCTGCTCAGGCCCTGAGAAAGGCACAGTCTATGGGCCGGCGGGCGCTCCTTTTAATGAGAGCGTTCCCTGTGGGAAGAGGCCTGGCCCTGAAGGAGGAAGTGTGTGGGTGACAGAAGCTGCATCGATACCGGCAGCGGTAGAAATCCAGGCAGGTCGGGAAGAGAACCTCTGAGGCTTCGGAGCACAGATCAGCTTCCTCCCCAGGGGAAGAAATAATATCTGGGGCAAGAGAACAAACTCAAGTCAGAAAGCCTTAAGAGCCAGGGACAGCCTTGCGGCTGGACACCGTTGAGAAAGATGCGGGAATGCCACTCGGGGAGAAAACCTTCAATGTCGTGGACATCTCCGTGAGGCAGATGCTCTATCTTGACCGGCTCTGGATCACCCTTTCATTGCTCACTGCTTCACGTACAGGGAGCAGTGAGCAATGAAAGTCAAGTTCGGGTCTTGTTTGCTGAGACGGAGGTTGGCCAGGCTGGCACTGGCCCTACTTTCCCTTTCTGCAATGGTGGACAGGGAGGGCTCCTGTCGGGGCCTCAGAGAGGGGAGGCAGGGGGCATCAGCTCCCTTGAGAAGTGACACTTTGCAGCCTGGGGATGAGCTGCGCCAGGAGCTGGGGACAGGTATCTCCAGTCATAGGAGCCTTGACATTCCTTAAGAAAGCAACAGGTGAGACCCGTGGTTTCAGTCCTTGTCTGCAATACCCACCAGCTCACACACGTCATGTTTAATGTGTGTGTGTTATGTAGCCACGTCCTATTCCTTCATCTTCTCAACATAATATTGGAGCATAAGCACTTGTCCTGTTTTTCACATATCTCTAGAAGTATTAGGTGGAGAGGCAGGGAAGAGAAAACCCCACCCAGCCCTATTCCCAGAATTCTTTGCTTAAGAAAAGTCAAGAGAGAGATTATTACCTTCTAACTTGCTGTGTGACCTTGGGAAAGTCACTTTACCTCTCTGGGCCTCAGTTTCCTCATGCAAATTGAAAAGGTTAGGTTAGCCCAGCTGCATGGCTCAGTGGTTGAACATCAACCTATGAACCGGAAGGTCACAGTTCTATTCCTGGTTGGGGCACTCGATTCCCAGTGTGGGGTGTGCAGGAGGCAGCCGATCCATGATTCTCTCTCACCATTGATGTTTCTATCTCTCTCTCCCTTCCTCTCTGAAATCAATAAAAATCTATTTTTTTAAAAAAAGTACACCATGGGGATCAGACAGTACTGAGGTCGATGTCAGAGGTGCCCTGAGCCCCCTGAACTCCCAGGGGCCTTGCCAGCAGGGCTCTCAGCCTGGCTGCTCCCTGGAATCACGTGCAGAGCTTTAATAAACCCCAACACCAGGCCTGTTCCAGACCCACGAAGTCAGGATTTCAGGATTTCAGACCAGGCATCCAGGTGTTTCAAAGGCATCGGCCTTGGCTAAGGCCGAGGACCTCTGGCCAAGCGGAAACAGCTTTACAGTTGAAAAGCACAAGCTAATAAAGTAGATAGTAGTGCCTTCTGCACAGGATCTGGTGTGCTCCATCTTGGAGGGAGTCAGGGTAGGTTTGGAAGAGGCTTGTACCACAAAGAATAAAGAGGAGG